TAAACTAAGATCATAGCATGTGGCCAGGAGGAAGATGGAATCACTCTTGCCCTCTTCCAGACTCACTTTGTTTGCACTTGCTTGTGAGGTACTTGTGTGCCTCACAAGTAAGCAGGATTGAATGAAATGGAGTCTAATGAGTGAAGCTTTCTGCATGTTGGCTTCTCTCATCAGGATGCTAAATGCCAGAGGGCCTGGGATTAACCTCATCCATGATGGGTTAAAATAAAGCTTCCCTCCTGCCCATGGGTACTGATGATTAGACAGAAAATGCAATTAACCATGAATAGTTTAGGTCACTGGCCCAAGCTTGCTTACTGCTTGCTGCCTCTATCCCTTCCCTAAATAATAGGCAAACCATAGAGAACCAGAACCAGGTGTTCCAGGAAGGAACAAAAATAGGAATTATCCCACCCTCAGAGCTGCACAGTGATTCCAAGAGGCTCATGAATCATTCTATGCACCATATAGAGAGAATAAATGGGTTGTACCTATATGCACTAGTATTTTCAAATATGTTTAGGTACTGTGTGGTTCATAAAATATAAATTTATTTTTCAAATGAGTGCTTAATAAGTTATTCTGACCCAATAATGTCTTTGGAAAGAGAATAACTTCACAAGTTTAGCTGCAGAGTGAGGATTTGGGTGCTCTGCTTCCGCTCACTTGTCTGAAGATAAACGTCCTCAGGCTTGGAGCTCTGACTTTGTGACTAAACAGTAATCACCTGTCAGCTCAAGTGCCTGTTTCTCCAGTATAATCAATGGCACGACATTCAATGCACAACACTCAGTTTAGCCACAATGCAGGCAACTGCAGGCAAAGGGAGGGGAAGATGGTTTTGCCACGCCATCAAAAGACAAGACTGGCTGCCACAGAATATTCCAGAAACCCCTGGACTTAGGACTGGGAGACTATAGAAAGGGTATTCCAGGACACAGCTGGCATCAGGCAGTGCAAGGGGACCCACAATCCCAGGAAGCTGTAAAATTTCTGAAATCTTGCCCCTGCCATTGGCTTGTAGGGAGCCCATCATGATGGTTCAGCTGCATGCGACTTCACCCAGTGCTGCCTCAGGCCATTCCAACAGCCATAGATGTGAGTACCTCAAAGGAAGGGCTTTGTCTCAACCCTCTGTGAAAGGTGCCTCTGCAGCAGCATCACTCTAAGTTGATTCTACCTTTGCATATCTGCTAAGGATTTAAATTTCGTGGAATTCTGCTACAAGAAGGAAGTCTGTGTCTACCTCTTTCCTCATTCCCCTCACCCCTACCCCAGCCTTGAAGAAACAGCAAAGCAAGATGCTTCTCTTCATTAGTCTACAAGAGTCCTGTAGCTCAAAACAGTGTATCTACCACTGGTAACTGGTAAATGGTAACTTGAGGAAACTATGACTTCATGGTGGGGGAGCAAGAGGATTCACCAGGTACTGAGAAATAACCAGAAAAAGGTATTTTTTTAATGTAGCTATAGGGAATGGGTAATGGGATACATCCTTATTTCCTAACTACTCCAAGAGAAAAGCCATGCTTCCTTTTTCTTCCTGTGAAGTGGAAGAAATAAGAAGTTGGATCTACTTAGTTCAGGGTTCTTACCGGCTAAGACCCTTACAAGTGTATCTGAGCTCCCAGCCCATGAGAATGAGTAGTTTTATGGAAGGCAGGATTCTTATTAAAAGTCCATTTGATTTCCATCACAGAAGCATGTTTTCCCTCTAACTTTCTCTATCCCATTGCAATCTGGTTGTTGTATATATGGAAGCAAACTTCTTCAGCCCTTAAACCACACATCATATTGTAGTAGTGTTTGTGAAAAACATTTTTTCATAAAAAAATCCTCACACCAGCTGATCACAATGTAATAGCCAGCTTGGTGCAAAGTAAAATTTGTAGAGAAAACCAATGAAAATATGCTACTGTCTCTCACTCTTCCATTTCAGTTGCTCTGAGTGTAGGGTATCCTGCATGGGATAGAGTTGAATATGTTTCCTCTGCTTCCAGAGAACCTGAAATACCTGTTTAAGCTCTTCTCACTCTCTGGGCATCAGTGAAGAAGTAGTTAACAGGCCTTGCACAAAGAAAGTTGTGATGGAGTCCTTTGAAAGACCTGGTTTGTGGCCCACCACCCAGAAATCCCAGCATGATTCATAATGAGTCTCTGTCCTGGGAGTCACTCTTTCCTGTGAAAGACCAAAGATGGTGAAATAGGGCTGCGAGTTCAGGCTTATGTTGTGAGAGGGAGTGTGAGGCCAGCAGAAATGGTATCAGTAGGCTGGTGGGGTCCAGGCTCTTGATACCATTAAGAAGATAAGAATTCTGTCAAGGAATTCAAGGAAGAGTCAGAAAATAGTAAAAGTACAGAGATTTATTGCAAAGGGAAGAGTATACATTCAAGAAAAGGGAATGCAGGCATACATGAGAGAAAGTCACACAGTGGGGTTTGGGGTTTCTATCTTTATAGGTTTCTTTAACCAAGGGGTGGAATATTCATGCAAATTCTTGCAAAAAGTTAGAGATTTCTCATAACTGCAGTGGTACCTATTTTTAAAGCAAATATGGGTGGTCTTTGAACAGTCATGGTGCTGGTAGGTGTGTGATCTAGTATGTTAATGAGTTTATAATGAGGGCCTAGGAGAAACATAGGTCAAATCCAGCTGCACATTGGGTTCAGTAGGTCTTAGCTAGCATGGTCCATGTGCTGTTTTTCAGGGTCTTGTCAGCCCATAGCCTCTAGTCCTGTGAAAATGCTGTCCGGAATTTTTACTTTCCTGTGACCACCCTGTATTATTCCTGTCTCAGAAGAGGAGGGGTGTTGCCCACGTTGCCTCCTGTAGTTGAACTGTCTACTCATCCATTCTGCCAGCTCTTGCAAGGATAAACTTCTTAACATAACTGCCACGAGATAAGCATCCTGCCCTAGCTCTCCTTGGGTGTTATGGGATAAGCTAGCAGAAGGGGAAGAGATGAGGTGTAAACCTTTTGTGAAGGTCTTAAAAATATGCTCGTTCTTGTGGCAGGGCCAGGCCCTTCTGTAATTACCCATGGCCTTAGGCCTTGGCACAGGAGACATCTTTGGGTCTTATCATAAAACCTCAATTTGTGAGGCAAACGGGACACCCACTACATCGCAGAAATTCTTCATACAACCTCAATTTGTATGCAAAATTGGACATGGACCCACCAGAGATGGTCATCTGAATTAAGCTGCAGAGCCCACTGGGGACAGGCCCAGCGATGGATGCTGTGCAGGCTCCAGATGTTTTGACCGTTTCCTGCAAGTCATTCTCCTCCCACTTCATCCTTGGCACCCAGGCAGGTCTCTGAAGTAGAAGGTTATGGGGTTATAAATAGCCTAGCTTTTCACCATTTTGTGAAATCTTTTAACCAACCTTTTTCCTTGTATTCATTCAGTAATTTATTCAACAAATAATTATTGAGGACCTGCCTGCCGTGCATGAGGTCCTGTGCTAAGTTCAGGGGCTTCTGATCTCATGAAAATTACAGTGTAGAAAGGAAGCAGGCAGTAAATAAATAACTAAACAAATCAACAAGGTAATTACAGATTGATGTAAGTGCTGTGAAGGACATAAACGGTAAAATGAGAGGAGTATAGTGAGGAGAATGATTTGGGGTGAGTGCAGAGAGAAGTCAGGAGTCAGGCTATATAGGGCGTAGGAGGCTATGATCAGAGTTTTCATTTTATTCTGAGAGCAACAAGTATTAAGAGAAGTGAGTAACATAAAGATCATTGTATGTTCACTGCCACGTTGCTTGTAATAGCAAATTATAAACATATTTCATCAATATGGAACTGGCTAAATAATTTTAGGTTCATTGCAGTGACATGCAGCAGTTAAAAACTGTGAGGTATGTCTGTATATACTGCCATAGAAGGATTTGCAAGATACCCTAAGTGGGAGAAAAAAAAAGAGTTTAAAAATGTTACAAAATGTATTTTTAAAAGCGGAGATGTATATGTATGTAGCTTTGCCTGTGTATAAAACATCACATAAAGGATATACAAAAAGGGCTGGGCATGGTGACTCATGCCTGTAATCCCAACATTTTGGGAGGCCGAGGTGGTGGATCACCTGAGGTCAGGAGTTAGAGACCAGCCTGGCCCACATGGCAAAACCACATCTCTACTGAAAATACAAAAATTAGCTGGGTGTGGTGGTGCATGCCTATAATCCCAGCTACTTAGGAGGCTGAGGCAGGAGACTCGCTTGAACCCAGGAGGCAGAGGTTTCAGTGAGCCGAGACTATGCCACTGCACTCCAGCCTGGGTGACAGAATGAGACTCAATCTCAAAAAAACAAATGGATATTCAAGAAGCTGATAATTGTTACTTCTGGACAGAAGAACTGGGACACAGGGTGGCTAGGGTGGAAGGGATACTTAGTGTTCATAGTGTATCCTTTTGTATGTTTAAATATTGTACTATGTGCCTGATCACTTATTCAGCAAAAAAGAGATGATGTCTAAACTGTGTACACCCTCATTGCTGTGCAGAGAATGCACTGAAGAGGGCAAGAGCAGAAGCAGAGGATCAGTTAGAAGACTCTGGCAGTGGTCTTGTTGAGGGATGGTGGTAGCTTGACCTATAGTGTTGGTAATGGAGAGGGGGAAGTTGGTGGATTCAAGATTTACTTCAGAGGCTCAGCCACCTGGGCCTGGTGTAATTATTGCTGTATTACACACTGATATTCCCTATGTTTACAGTTTAAGAAAGCTTTATGCATTTGAGATGGGAACTGGGCTTACCAGTCTCTAACCTGACTTCTCTGACATCTTTGTGGTAGGCAGGGTTCTTGGACTCCTTCCAGGTGCTAAAAGCCTCTGGATTTCAGACAATCATGTATCACAATGCGGAAGACATAGTTATGGACATTTACCCCTTTCGTACTCAAGAGTTACAAACAACTTTTAATGGCTGTTAAAAAAAAAAAGTTAAACTGAAGAAGCCCACTCATTCCTCAATGGAGCTTGCTTTCTTTGCAGAGAGATGCCAAAGGCCAGTACCTGTTCGACCTTCTTTGCCACCACCTGAACCTACTTGAGAAAGACTATTTTGGGATACGCTTTGTAGACCCAGATAAGCAGCGGGTAAGTCAATATTCAAAGCACAAAAGGAGTACAGGGCTAATCAGTAATCTTGAGGTCTTGTTATTCATATTCATATCCAGTCAGACCCTGCAATTGGATGTTGTCTCTTCAAATCATAGCATTAGACCTGGAAGGCACCTTGGCTAGAGCTCCCCTGGAGAAGCTTGTCATTTTACAGTTTCTGAAATGGCAGGCTAGGGAGCTTAAGTGATTTGCACAAAGTTGGAGGCAGAGCAGCTGGACTGGGGTTGTGGTCTCAGAGCCCAGGTCACAGAGTAATCCTCTCCTGCCCCCTTTCTAGTAAGTGGGCTGAGCCACATTGTTCTGGTTAGGAAAAGCCTCACCAAAGGTGCCATACCAACCCAATCTAGGCAGAACAGAGACAGAGCCAAACCATCACAGGCCCTTCAGCACCTTGCAGATCTTACAGTTCTTGCTCTGCTCTACACAGCGTAGGCAGCTCTACAGACACAGGGCATTCTGATAGACAGGATTCTGATATTCCAGACAGATACAGGAACAAACCATTATCTCAGGCCCCTGCTGATTTCTCCAGCTTCGTTTCCCCTGACCTGTCTTCCCCCTGTTGTGGTCCACCCAGATAGTACTACTTTTGCTCTCCAGATATATCATACCTTCTTTCTTTACAGAGCCTTCACCTATAGAGTTCCCCTGCCTAGAATATTCCCTTTTCCTCATTGCTCCACACTCCACATCCTTCTTGCAGCTAACTCCTTTTTATACTTAAGGTCTTAGCTTAGACTTTTATTTCCTCTAGGAAGTCTTCTCTAAGCCTACTCTATGTTAGTAATCCTCCTTTGGACCCCCATTTGCCCTCTGCTACCCTTGTTATGGCACTTATTACATCATGCTGTGATTACCTGTGTTCCCTGCAAAAATATAAGTTCCAAGAGGGCCTGGACTTTATCTCATTCATCACTGTCTCCCAGGTAACTAGCACAGGCCTACAATGTAGTTGGTATTCCATAAATATTTTCTGAAGAAGAAAAAAATATTTTCTGAAGAAATGAATGTATGAGTGAGTTAATGGCTTACAGTGCTATGTTTCTTACATGCATTTGCCCAGCCTCCCAGCTTGCACACACCTGCAGTTTCTATAACTTACCTTCATCTACCCTTTGCTCTTTGTGGAGATGGACTCTATGGTATCCCCAATAAAGTGGAGAGCTAATGATGGACTATTTTTACAAATGGTGTTTCTTTGTTTGGTCCAAACTTTTATCCTTAAAAAGGAAGGCTGGCTGTGTGTAGTGGCTTATGCCTGTAATCCCAGCTCTTTGGGAGGCTAAGGCAGGTGAATTGTTTCAGCCTAGGATTTCATGACCAGCCTGGGCAACATGGCAAAACACTGTCTTCACTAAAAATACAAAAATTAGCTGGGCATAGAGGCACTTGCCTGTAGTCCCAGCTACTTGGGAGGCTGAGACATGAGAATCACTTGAACCCAGGAGGCAGAGGTTACAGTGAGCCAAGATTGCACCACTGCACTCCAGCCTGGGAAACAAAGCAAGACTCTGTCTTATTTTTTTTTTATTAAAAAAAAAAAAGGGGAGAGCCAGTTACTTCAAGATCTCTTTGTCTCCTAGAGTGGTGGTATATGAAGAAAAAAAGGCAAATTGTATCATGTTCATTGGTTTTTTTAGTTAGGTCAGAATGTGCTTGAGGAGAATAAGAGAATACGTGGATGTGGTCAAGGTTAAAATGAGAAGGAGCTAGAGAGAGATAAGAACATGGGAAAGAGGAGAAACAAACATTTATAGACTTCTTACTGCTTGCCAGGCTCTGCGCTGCACACAAACCTAATTCTTCCAGTTGATGTGTACTGCTCACTGAGTTCTGCCAGGCACTAAGCTAAGAGCTTCATGTATGTTATTCCATCTCATCCTTAATGAAATGATATGAGTATCCCTAATTATAATATCTGTTCTCCAGATGAGTAAATAAAATATCAGACAAGTTTAAGTAACTTGCCCAAGGTAAGTAGCAAAGCCAGCCTCGAGCTAAGATCTGCCTCACTCTAGGGCCAGTGTGGTTTCTGAGATTCCATGCTGAATGTATAACTGATAGCTTCTGAAAGTTGTGTAACTCTGTGCCTTGCGGGAGGGGTTAGGGAGAGCAGAGAGGCTTGAGAGAGTATCTGAGAGTTGCAGAGAATTGGGGACCTGTAAAGAGTCATCCTTGGTCCACTCATTCATGGGAGGGATGGAGGAGGTGAGCTCCCTTGCTCCATCAGGGTATAAGGTCCTAACATAAACCTCCTTCCCTAGGTCACGAGACAGTCTGAACCCAGCACTCATATCCAACCCCATGTTACTGCTTGCTCTGCAGGAGCCTCCAAGCATCTGGGAGCTCTACTGGTCTCTCCCAGAGGACCTGCCCTCACTCTCCTTCCTTAGGATTCCTGACTCAGGCCTGGGGCCTCCACCTTCTCTCGGCCTCTCCTTTATACCCTTTTAAGCCCCTAGAGTCTGAAGATTGTGCCACTTTGGCACATTGGCCCATTCACCCAATCAGAGGAGGAAACCCTTCTCTCTTCTTCATCTTCTTTTTTTTTTGAGACAGAGTTTCACTCTTGTTGCCCATGCTGGAGTGCAATGGCACCATCTTGGCTCACTACAACCTCTGCCTCCCAGATTCAAGCGATTCTCCTGCCTCAGTCTCCCGAGTACTGGGATTACAGGTGTGTGCCCCCTTGACTGGCTAACTTTTTTTTGTATTTTTAGTAGGAATGGGGGGTTCTCCATTTCAGCCAAGCTGGTCTCGAACCCCTGACCTCAGGTGATCCATCCACCTCAGCCTCCCAAAGTGCTGGGATTACAGGTGTGAGCCTCTACGCCCAGCCTCTGTGAATCTTCTTTTCCTCTTCTCTTGATCCCTTCTCCCAAGCCATGTTGTTTGTTTGCCAGTGAATCTGGGACCACTTTGGCCAGGCAGCTGCAAAAGGCAACTCTGGCCATCACCGTATTCTTGGTTTCCTCTCAAGATTTCTCTCCTGGACTCCAAATCTCATGGATCAGCTGTGACAGCTCTCCAGTCCCTTCTCACTCCTTGCTACTCTCCTCCAGCATCAGTCCTTTCTTGATCTCTCACTACAATAAAACTAAAATCTTTTCTCCAACTATTGTCAAGGGGAATAGCCTTATTGTCATTCAGCTTTATCTGCCTTCTGCTGATAATGCATCTCACAGTCATTAATTTCTACCTCCCTTTGTTTATTTCTTTTAAACTATCAGTCTAATGTCTAGGGCTGTTGCTGTTCTGTGCACTGGGTCCCTGGCACTGGCTATCTTCCCCTTACTGTCCACAATTCCAGTGTGCTGTGAACAGATGGGCCTCCTCCCTCTTCACAGGCACAGCCTGGAGCCCCAGTTGTTTCTGAGCAGTTTAATCTCTTGCCTTTGCTTCCCTGTGAAGCAGAGCCACGGTGGGCCGTGTAATGTGAGAAGGACCGCTTAACCACATTGAGTGGCTATAATGAGTTGCCAGCCTCGTGGGAACTCAGATCAGCAGAAGCAGGAGAGCAGAATGTCAGCCCAGATTATCCATGTGGAGCTAATGGAAGAACTGGCTCTTAGTGGGTCCATTAACTGCATGACCCATGGCCCAGCCCAGAAGGTTATCACTGGGAATTAAGGGAGGCCGGGATGCTGACTGCAGGGCCCTGGCTGCTCTCCTGCCAGAGAGAGGACTCTGTGAAGACATTATACTAAATGGAAGTAGCCAGAAAAGAAGGAATTATGGGTCCAGTCCCTTTGCCATTCAGCAGCTACCTATTGAACACTGTGCTAGACACCGGTCATGCAGTGGTAAACAAGACTGATAGTTTTGGGTCCTCATGGAGCTTACATCTGGCAATGTTAAGCTACCTCCAAATAATCAAACCCCAGTTAATAGCAGTCCTACCTAATTCTGATTATCTTAAAGTAACAAACATCAATAATAAATTTTATAAAGGACCCATGTAGAATTAATAAACACATTTAGAATGGTTTCATTGCTTCCCCCAAATGTAAGTACCATGGGAAAATGTATATTACCTCTATGTCCTGCCTCTTTGTAAATCCAAGGGGAAGAGGGTACTATCCTACAGGTTGGTTGTGGTTAGTTATCATTTGAGATTTAGACTTTAAACATCCCTGGATGCCAAGGAATCCTGAGTATGTGTTTTCTAACGCAAGGGTTGGCAATCTATGTTACTCAAAGAAAGATGGAATATACACCAGCCATCCCTGACTTAGGAAATTTCTACTTCTCACTACTTTCTAAAGTTGCTACCAATATCCTCTATCCCCACTACCCTGCCAAGAAAAAAAAAAAAAAAGCTGGTGCATAACACAAACACACACTACTCATTAAAGTCAGTATTTCCCAATGCAACCCAGGTGGGGCTCTGTCACCACCACACCTACATGCAGTTGCCTGTGCTTAATCGCATGCCAGAAACATGGCTCAGAAGTTTGGCACCCTGATCTAGAAGATAGCAAGCATTTCCAGGGAAGCACCGAAATGGCATCCGAAGCTGGAACTACTTCCCTCTTTCACAGCTGGTTCCATAGCAGCTCATTTCAGAAAATCATATCACTCTTTACTCTCCAGACTTATCTTGCACCAGCTTTTGGACTGCTTTCACCCTAGGCTACAATCTGTCTAGTTTTTTAACTTAGAGAAAACAAGTTATATTTTACAGCCCTTCTCATCAGGTTTTTCATATTCTGTGTTCTCTGTTTCAGCATTGGCTGGAATTTACAAAGTCTGTGGTGAAACAATTGAGATGTAAGTATTCTCCATGAAAAGAGTCAAGCTGCACCCCTGGGGAGGGTGGGATAAAACCTCCCACTTATCGCAAGTCTTGGTCTACATATATAATTTTCCACTGTTTTGTTTATAAGTTGGCCCTAAATATATGAGGGCCATATATTTACGGTTTTCTTCTGGTGCTTCAGTGGCCTGTGCATGCTAGTGGCAATAGAGCCCTGTCCTCTTCTGAGAGAGGGTCTTCCCTGATGTTCACCTCTTTTTCTCTGCAGCCCAGCCTCCATTCACCATGTGCTTCCGTGTGAAATTTTATCCTGCAGACCCTGCTGCTCTGAAAGAAGAAATAACCAGGTGAGGTGAACACACTTCCTGCAGCCATTAGGACCTGTTGGAGAGCATAGGAAAGGGGGACGGTGACCTCTTAGAGCCTCTAATTTGGACGCACCTAACTCTTAGAGGCAAGGAACTCTTCCTAAATATAATGACTTCTGTGTTTTGTTTCCACATGCTTTCTTTCCTTACCCCTCAGTGCAGTTGGAACACAGTGGACTTCTTTCTTTCAAGAAGTGCGAATATTGCTTCTTGAACTGGTAACTCTCATAGGGATCTGGAGTAACTAACCAATCAGAAGCATCTTTTCTTTCACCTGTGATGTGGCCACTGTGGACATTTTTGGAGAGGGCTGTGTTGCTGCTTATTTTGGGGGTTGAAAATAGACTCAAGTGTTCTAATGGATATACTTGGAAAATGCGAAAGCATGGCATTGAAAGATAAGCTGGAAGATACTGAAGGTTTTAAATCAAAATGGGTAAACTCCAGTATGCTGTTGGATCAGGTTCGTGATATATTCTTTATTGTGGGGATTGTGTTCTGTGGCAGGCAGACAGCTGTGTGGAATGCATCCTATCTCATCCAGTACCACTTGAGGATGAGAAAGAACCTCTGTGTCCCTAGCCATCCTAAAAGAGGGTCAATGAGTAAGAGCTTCAAAGCTTCCCCAGGATTTTGTATATCTGAACCAAATTCACTCTGACCAGTCTCACCTCAGAGATTCAAGAACTCTCTACCACAGGGATCCCTAATTTTTGTATTAGAAAGACCTAATTTCAACATAAGCAAAACCTTGATGTTACCTTGTAGAAGCCAGGACTACAGATGGGGATGTGATGCCAGGGAATCCTAGAGCTGAGGAAACAGCACTGCCAGCTCTAACCCCTTCCCTAAGACCTTGGAGACCGCAAAGGTGGGAATGTGGATATTGCCAGTCATATAGGCTATTTATCCTGTAAGGATTTGAGATCCACTCCTAGATCCTGAACTGCTTGGGAAAATTCCAAAGACAGAAATAGAGGAGGGAACAAGAAGGAAAGAATATGGAATAATTTTCTTTTTCTTTTCTTTTTTTCTGAGACGGAGTTTTTGCTCCTGTTGCCCAGGCTGGAGTGCAGCGGTGTGATCTCAGCTCACTGCATCCTCTGCCTTCCAGTTTCAAACAATTCTCCTGTCTCAGCCTCCCAAATAGCTGGGATTACAGGGGCCCACGACCATGCCCTGCCAATTTTTTTATTTTCAGTAAAGACGGGGTTTCACCGTATTGACCACACTGCTCTCGAACTCCTCACCTCGTGATGCACCCTCTTTGGCCTCCCAAAGTTCTGGGATTACAGGCGTGAGCCACCATGCCTGGCCGGAATTATTTTCATTTCCTGATCTGAAGAGCATGCCAGGTGAAAGGAGCAAAAGTTTCTCTAAGAGGGGAAATCAGAAAATGGGGAAAGGAGAGGGCAGGAAACAGGAATTAGTACAGCAAAGGCAATAAGGAAGTGGGACAGGGGAGAAAAGTGATTCCTTCACATGGACCCCAGTTGGAGTTGAGGGAAATCTTCTAATGAAGTCAGAAGGATCAGGAAGGATTGTTTTCTGCAGATGCATTGGGCAGTGTGTACCCACCTATTTTGAAGCACTGAAGATAGTGAGGTGGTGTAGCTAGAACCAAACCTCATGCCTCTTACTAAGCATAGAAGCTGCAGGCTCTGCTCATCTATACAGAAGTGCAGGTGGCTCTTGGCTTTGTTTCAGAAAAACAAATCCATCCAAATCATAGAGACCCTAAGGCTTTAGGTAGGTGAGTAAGGGTAAAACCACTATGTTTAAAATTTCAGACCTGGCACAGTGGCTCATGCCTGAAATCCCAACACTTTGGGAGGCCGAGGCGGGCGGATCACCTGAGGTCAGGAGTTTGAGACCAGCCTGGCCAACCTGGCAAAATCCCATCTCTTCTAAAAATACAAAAATTAGCCTGGCATGGTGGCACATACCTGTAACCTCAGCTACTCAGGAGGCTGAGGCAGGAGAATCACTTGAACCCACGAGGTGGAAGTTGAAGTGAGCCAAGATCATGCCACTGCACTCCCCAGCCTGGGTGACAGAGTGAGATTCTGTCTCAAAAAAAAAAAAAAAAAAATTCAAGAGTTTTGTTAAAATACCACTAGCCTGCACCACTCACGATCTCCAGAGTGTTTACCTTAGCTCTGAACTTCTCTCTGCTGAAAGAGACACTGGTGCGAGGGCAGACCCCTATACTCCTGTTCACATATCAGAGTAACCTAGCACATCTTTGTTGTCCACCTCACTGGACCAAAAGTGGGGATGAGAGAGAGCAGCCAGTAAGAGCACCACAGATATATGGCTTTCCAATTTGATTCATGGACCAGAAAAACATGGTTATCTTGGCCCTTAGGAGGCGCTCTTAATAATACAGTTTTCAGCCAGGCACAATGGCTCACACATTTAATCCCAGCACTTTGGGAGGCCAAAGTGGGTGGATCATGAGGTCAGGAGTTCGAGAGCAGTGTGGCCAACATAGTGAAATCCCGTCTTTACTGAAAATAAAAAAATTAGCTGGGCGTGGTGGTGAGCGCCTGTAATCCCAGCTACTCGGAAGGCTGAGACAGGAGAATCACTTGAACCCGGGAGGCAGAGGTTGCAGTAAGCCAAGATCGTGCCATTGCACTCCAGCCTGGGCAACGAGAGTGAAACTTCATCTCAAAAAGAAATACAATTTTCTGAATCCAGTGTCACTATCTTATATGAATGGACAGACCTTCCTACCCAAGAAGCAGCATAGACCTGGGAGCTGAGATCTTACTTATGTCACAGGTTGGCCGTATAGCCTTGGAAATAAGATACTTCACCTCTCTAACCTTAGATTACTCATTTATAAAATGGCGATGGTAATATCTACCTCGTAGAATTGTCAGGAGGATTAACCACTGTCCCAGCATCTCATACTTAATACACCGACAGTGAGCCTCGCACTGAGCAAAGCCTCAATATTTCGTTGCCAGATTCATTACACAGTCCAGAGGCCCCTGGGGTTCTGCATGGGGCACAAGTACAGTTAGTAGTGGCTTTTCTCCCTTGTTTATGTGAAAAGCACTTCTTTTCTAATAATCTCTACTCTTCCTCTGTCCCCTTTCCCCACCAGCTAGAACCCTAAAACTTAAGCAGCTAACTTCTGAGTTCTGAGAGAGAAAGCTATCCCATGTAATCATCCAAGTCCTAGTAAGCACAGCATTAGAACCATGGCTAGGCCTCTCACCAAGTCAGCAGACTTTAAGGACACTGGCAAGAAAATGAGCTCCTCTCCATCTGCATGCATTTGTGCTAACCATCTTGGGCCATTTTCCCCTCTCTCTCAACCTCAGCAGCGTTCTTTCCCTAGTAGATAATTTTCTAGCATTGTCAGGCGTATGAACCACAGGTGCCTGGGCCTGCTTTGCAGTCTTTGTGCCTCCCCCTCCCTGGGGCATTCTGTGAGGCTGTGGAATTAGCTGCCTTTTTCTCCTCATTCACATCCCTACTGATCTTAAGAGAGTAGATACTGGCCCCAGCCTCACTCAACACCCATAATTCATCCCTGGCTTAGAGCCCTCCATCCCACCTTGCTGCCAAACTAATTTAGCTGTCAGTGTGTTTTTTCCTGGCAATATTTGTCCTAAATTTCACTGCCGTCTCAGCCATTCCCATAAAGCCAGGCTGAGAGAAGGGGATGAAGTAGAGAGTACAGAACTTGGTTCAATTTATCTCTTGGCTTCTTTCCAGATGATAAATTTAGTTGCCAAATCCTGATTAATTTATTTTGTCATTTTTAAAGTAATAAATAGATTTTTCTTGTCTAGGCTAGAGACAAGGCAAAGAAAATGGGGAATCAGATACCAGATTTGGCTTTTAACAGGGATTGCAGGTGTATGAACTCTTTGGAAAGATCAAGTAAGAGAAAGAAACTGACTACAAATGGGCCCCATCGTCAAGGAAGCAAAATGTCTGTAAACAACAGATGCTCCAGAAAAGGTTAATAGAATGAATCAATACGTACATGAATGAATGGAGTCATCAGGTCACTTATTCCTTCAATGAACATGACTTGAGCTAGCTTAGGGTAAGATGGATTGGCAAACTTTTTCTGTAAAGGGCCAAATAGTATTTTAGGCTTTTTGGGCCATATGTTCTCTGTTGCAGCTACTCAATTCTGTCATTGTAGTGTGAAAGCAGCCATAGACGATACATAAATGAATGAGCAAGGCTGTGTTCCAATAAAATTTTATTTCATTGGAAACTATGGCAGCAGACTATAGTTTGCCAACCCCTGGGCTAAGAAATCAGAAATGCTGGTTTCAAATCCCAGGTTGTTCTTTAACTAGCTCTGTGACAGGGCAGGCAACAGTATCTCTAAGCACTCAGTCTCCTCATCCATTAAACAAGGAATAAAATGGTCATCACCTCATGGAGTTACTGGGAGGAGTGAATAAGAAAGGGCATGTGAAACAGGGCACACAGCATGCACTCAGTAAATGTGAGTTATTATTGTTATTTTGTTTTGTTATTATTTTGTCATCTCCCCCATTGGAATGTAAGCTCCATTAACAGGACTCTGAATTGTTCCCTGCTGCATTCCCAGCACCTGTGACAGTACCTGGCACATATTAAGTGTCAGAACTGGATGGATGAATGATGGATGTGTGGGTGGGTGGCTGGGTGGCTGGGTGGATGGGTGGATGGATGGATGAGCTAGGCATGGGATGTTTAGGCTCCCTAGAAGAATATTAAAAGTAAATAAAATATAGTCTCTGACTTCAAGGAGCTTACAATCTAATATGGGGTAGGAAGACATTCTAAACATAATTATAGTCAGGAAAAAGGAAATAGTAAATAGGGGAAGCCAGTGGCAAAGAATCTATTTGAAAGGAAGGTGAGGCCAAAGGATCTTCTGGAAAAAATACAGGAGCCTCCAGTGCTTTCCAGAGTTCACAGCCTTAAACTCTGGAAATAACTGTGGATTCATCCCCACCCTCAGAAAGCATTATGCTAAAGCTAGTACCCTGGAGAGATATACGCGTTACAGAAAAGCTCAGGTTTTCCTTAGCATCTTTCAGGCTCTTGCTCATTCTGTCCTGATTCACACTCTAATCAATTTAGGACAACACTAGCATTAAAACAAAAATGGAGGTGAGGTAAAGCCTCTTTGAGGCCAGAAAGATACAAGCAAAGTTTAAAAAACAAAACAGTTTCCTGAGAAGCAAGCTTGTTCTCCAAAATCCGGTCTAGAGCTGATTTATCCTTTTGTCCCGGTGAGAATTTCTCTCTGATAACAGAGGGTTCTCCTGACTTGGATTAGGACTAACCTCATAACTAACCAAATTACTGTGGGGGTAGAAAAGGCACTGGGCTGAGTCAGAAGGCCTGGATTCTGATTGCTGTGTTACCTCAGATAAGTCACTCTACATTTCTGGACTTCAGTTTCCTTGGCTATGAAATGTTCTAAGGTTCAGAGATTCAGGAGGGCTGGACTGGGCAGCCCCAGCAGGCTGACCCCTTGCCTGGCAATACACAGTGGTCCTGGAGATAGTACCTCCGGCAATAAGATTGTCTTCCTTAGGCCCATGTGTGTCAGGGGAGAACATGCGAGGGTCTCTTGCGAATGGACCTAAGGATGCTATGAGTCATGTGGAATATATTTTCACCAACAACACTGAGTCACTGGTTATCTCCTTAAATGAACCAAACACAAAGCTCCATGGAAGCCACTGTGGCAGAAAGGGGAGGGGTCCCCAGTGCAGCTTCCTCTCTCTTGAAGCTCAGTTGATTCTTTCATGAGCTCATCTCTTCTTGTCCTCAACTATGGTTTGCTTCTTTAGGATACTAGTGTACCATTTTCCCTCTTCCCATCTAGTTCTATGACATTGCCTGAGAATGCCTCATGGCCTTGCCTTTAACCTCCCTGCAACTGTTTTATCACCAGAAATCAAAAGGAATCCTGACCAGTTGTTTCCATTCCAGTTCACCTGAGGCTGTTAGCTGCCATCAGTAATGATGCCTTGGAAAGACAGTGGTTCTCAGTGTGAGTGAGCAGGATCCTGTTCCCTTGGGTGAGGGGACAGGGAAGCAAATCAGAAACTTTAAAGGGGCCTTTTTCTTTTTTTTTTTTGAGATGCAGTTTTGTTCTTGTCACCCAGGCTGGAGTGCAGTGGCACAATCTTGGCTCACTGCAACCTCTGCCTCCCAAGTAGTTGGAATTACAGGCATGCACCACCATCCTGGCTAAATTTTTTTTTTTTGTATTTTTAGTAGAGACGGGGTTTTACCATGTTGGCCAGGCTGATCTTGATCACCTGACCTCAGGTGATCCACCCGCCTCAACCTCTCAAAGTGTTGGGATTTCAGATGTGGGCCACCCCGCTCAGCCCAAAGGGGCCTTTTCAAAGCACAGGAGCACACCCAACACATACGGATTCTGACGGGTTCCCCCGGAAGATGTTCCCCTCTCTGCCATGTTGAAAATCACTGTCAGAGCCATGTTATCCCTTTGCAGTATTTTCTTTAGTCCAATATGTACAGTCCCTGAATTTTAGACACAGACAAGCAGAGAAACATGGAAGATGTGATGCATGAATCCAGGCCCATGGAGTGATCAGTGAGTAAGGGGCAAAAGGTTTGCATCCACATCCTGCTGAAGCCTGTGGAAGGTGGGAGTTGGAACAGTGAGAGGCAGAGAAGTGCTTGCTCACTCTCTCCCACACAACGTGTGGCATTTCATTGTGGGAAGCAGAGTGAAGACGAGCTTGATTTGGTAGATCCATTTTATTATTCACTCTACATGATGTCTTTTTTTCCTTCAGTTTTTCTTGGCAAACATTTGGGCAGTAGGGTTGGTAGGAGCAAGGGGTTGGATTCTTAATAACTTCCAGACTAAAAGACTCCCTTTGATCAGAGGAAGGCAGTCTAATCTGCTGTGGTTAGAAGGTTGCTTTTGAATTTTCTTAGGACAGCTTCTTAAATTTTAATCTATACACAAATCACCTGGGGATCTTGTTAAAAGGTGTAAGTGTAAGTGTAGGATGGGCCTATATTCTTCATCTCCAATAAGCTCTCAAGTGATGCTGATACTCCTGATATGTGGGCTACACTTTGAGTAGCAAGGCCTGAGGAGAAAAGAAGGCTTGGTTGCTCCCTCATTTCTGTTTGTTAATTGCTTGAATCTCCAAACCCAAGCCTCTCAGAGTTACCTGCTGGGACCCCTTCCTACCACCTCCTAGAAGCTGCACTATCAACAGCCGTCTTCCTCTTGAGCATTTTTACATGATCAGGTGGACATGAAATCCTCTATTTTATTCTTCAGCCTGAAAACAGAAACAATGGAAACCTCCAGTTGTTCAGGGAGGGGTCAATTTCTTTTTGGTTCAGAGTGGTAGAATTTAAAGGAATTTTACTACATTTTCATTACTATCCTAGGGATGCTGCACCATAAAAGTTAAAATAAAAAGCATTTTATTATCTCTGAGTGTCTATGGGTTAGGAATTCAAGAGCAGCTTAGCTGGGTGATTCTGGCTCAGGGTAAATCACGAGGTTGCAGTCAGGAGGTTGGCTGAGGCTGCAGTGATCCACAGGCTTGACTGGAGCTGGGGGCTTCATTTCCATCATGGGGCACTCAAATGGCTGCTGGCCGGAAGCCTCAGTTCCTTGCTGGCTGTTGGCAAAGGCCCCAGGTCCTCACGACATGGACCTTTCTATAATACTGCTGAAGCAACCTCCAGAAAAGTGAGTAATCTAAAGGCAAGAGAACAAGGAGGAAGCTGCAAGGACTTTATGACCTCAGAAGTCAGACACTCACTTATCAATAGAATAAATTCTGTTAATAGAAGTGAGTTATCAAGTTCTAAGCCACACTCAAAGAGAAAGAATCAAGCCCTAACTCATGAAATTATGATTATCAAAGAATTTATGAAAATATTTTTATATGTGTGTATGTGTGCGTGCGTGCGTGTGTGTGTTTTTAAGGCGGAGTCTCGCTCTGTAGCCCAGGCTAGAGTGCATTGGTGCAATCTTGGCTCACTGCAACCTCCACCTCCTGGATCCCGATTCAAGCAATTCTTGTGCCTTGGCCTCCTGAGTAGCTGGGATTACAGGCACACACCACCATGCCCAGCTAATTTTTGTATTTTTCATAGCAACAGGGTTTCACCATTTTGACCAGGCTGGTCTTGAACTTCTGCCCTTGTGATCTGCCCACCTTAGCCTCCCAAAGTGCTGGTATTACAGGCATGAGCCACCACACCTTGCCAGAAATATTTTTAAATCACCACAGATGCTCCCTGGCCAAGGAGCTACCATGGTAGGTGACCCACCCAATCCCACCCAGAAATTGATGCTCCTCATAATCTCACAGGTCTTCTAAGAAGAGCAGCAAAGACCACACTCCTTGTGAAGATATTTCAAAATGGAAAGTCATCAATTCCATTCTACTGTGACAGGGTCCATTCACCTAGTGAGACTGCAAAGTGTTTATAGGAGGGCAGAATATCGTAGTGATGAAGAGCAAAGTTCAGGGGTCTCACAGTGCTAAAGTTGAATCCTGGCTCTTCCACTTAGTTGCATGTCCATGAGAAAATCACTAAGGCCTCATCTTCTTTATCTGGAAAAAATAGGGATAATAATAGTACTTATCTCAAAGTGTTACGTGAGAATTAAATAAGATGTTGCATGTAAAGTGTGTAGAGAAGCAGATCATAAGCTCTCAATACATGTCAGCTACTGTTTGCTCTTGTTTTTGATATCCTGCTTCCACCTGAGGTAACAGCTTTCTGTATTTAAAGAGATGCTGGCCCCAGGTTTCTGCTTCATTTGTATGCTTCCTTCACCAGTGCTTCTTGTTGCACTTTTTCTTTTTTCTTTTTTTGAGACCGGGTCTCTCTCGCCGGTTGCCCAGGCTAGAGTACAATGGTGCAATCTTGGCTCACTCTTCTTACACTTCAATCCATTTCAAAGGTCTGGTTAACCTCGGTAACTGCAGGCTGTTTCCACATATGGACAGATTCTCTTGGCAAGCTGAAACAGCTCTTCCTGGGCTAGTTCCTTCACCCACCATTCTACTTAAGAAGGAACATCAGCCAGCACCCAAGGCGTAGAGAGGCCCAGTTTGCCAGTCTCTGATGGCATAGTTTTCTTTTTCGGCTCCAGATTGACTGGGACTGGCTCCTTCCAAAGCCCAGAACTGGAGGGGTGATGCTTTTACCAGGAAACAGCCATTTCTGTTTTGAGCTACAGGAGGAAACTGACATATTTTGAACTGAACCTCAGGTGAGTTCAGGGCAAAGTACTTGAAAGAGTCTACAGGGAAATGGAGAATGTATTTGTTCTACGTTATGTTTCAAGAATTTTTCTTAATGTAGTTAAAGTATCCTGACAAAGATTTAGATAGGCTTACATTACATATTTCTATCTTTAAAGCAATCAAAGAAATCCTTTATTGTTCATTCTGTTTTCTCCCCAGGTATTTAGTCTTCCTACAGATCAAAAGGGATCTCTACCATGGCCGCCTCCTCTGTAAAACATCGGATGCTGCCTTGTTAGCAGCTTACATCCTTCAAGGTAATGACTTTTGACAGGATAAGTTTGCTTTTCATGCCAAGTACTGATTACATTCAGTTAGCACAGATGACTACTTCTTGAATCTAAACATTATCTAGGCCAGGTACAGTGGCTCACACTTGTAATCCCAGCACTTTGGGATACTGAGATGGGTAGACCACCTGAGTTCAGGAGTTCAAGACCAGCCTGGCCAACATGGTGAAACCCCATCTCTCCTAAAAATTCAAAAATTAGCCAGTGTGGTGGGGCATCCCATTATCCCAGCTACTCAGGAGGCTGAGGTGCAAGAATTGCTTGAATCCAGGAGATGGAGGTTGCAATGAGCCGAGATTACACCACTGCACTCCAGCCTGCACGACAGACCAAGACTCCATCTCTAAATAAATAAATAAACAATATCTAACTTGAAGCAGAGTTCAATTTAGAGGGTATTTTGTGTTTTGTTTTGTTTTGAGATGGCATCTCGGTCTGTTGCCTAGTCTGGAGTGCAGTGGCTCAATCTCAACTCACTGCAATCTCTGCCTCCCAGGTTCAAGCTATTCTCCTGCCTCAGTTTCCTGAGTAGCTGCAGGTACACACTACGGGTATACACCACCACACTCAGCTAATTGTTTTTGTATTTTTAATAGAGATGGAGTTTCACCATGTTGGCCAGGCTGATCTCTAACCCCTGACGTCAGGTGATCCACCTGCCTTGGCCTCCCAAAGTGCTGGGATTACAGGTCTGAGGCACCACACCCAGACAAGTTAGAGGATTTTGCTTGGATTTCCTAGAGTCAGATAACACTGAACACTCAGCCCTAAACTGTGCCTAAGGTATTATTACCAGCTCCTTAAAGTCATTCTGACTCTGTTTTAGGGATTTGCCCTGGGCCCCTGGTTGATAAAGTCCCTGAGACACTAGAGAGTAATCAGAATTGATTTTTTTTTCCCATCCTCTCAGGCAAATCTCCAAGACGTGAAGTATATTGGAATTCTGATATCTATTTCAGAGACCTTTTAGTACAGGGTACTCAAAGTTGAAAGTGTTTCCAAGTAACAAGCATATTTCCTAACAGGCTAATAAGTAAGAGTTTAGGTTTACCCAGCTGATGCCCAGATTGACTTTTTCTGCAAAACACTGGGAGATATATGCAGTCTTCACACCTGTCCCCTTCTCCTGAGATGCAGAGACACTTAAATGCAGCTTCCGAGATTTCTTAGTCCCAAGGCCTGAAACTGCCATTACTAGTGGATCATTTTGGACCATAGCACTGAAATCATAAAGTTTCCCCCAAAGAATTTGAACTCTTAATTGGAAATCCCAGAGGCTACTTTGTGACGAGAACCTGGAAAGTGCTTGCCAATATAAACTAACTAAAGAATAAGACACTAAAGTCCTGACAATAGAAATATCATGGCTGGCTACCTGTGTTAAGAATGTAAAAGTCAGCCCATTGCCACTTTGACTTCTAAGACTCCTGTTTTTAAAATCACCGACATGGGGAGTCCAACAGGTACTTGCTAATTTTAAGATACCCAAAGATGCCCCTTTGATTTTTCTTTTTTTTTTTCATACAGAATCTGGCTCTTTTCCCTAGGCCAGAGTGCAGTAGTGTGATCTTGGCTCACTGCAACCTCCACCTCCTGGGCTCAGTGATCTTCCCACCTCAGCCTCCCAACTAGCTGGAACAAGTGTACACCATGACATCCAACTACATTTTTTACTTTTTTGTAGAGAGGGGGTTTCACCACGTTGCCCAGGCTGGTCTCCAAGTCCTGAGTACCCATTTTGTTTTTACAGAGAAAGCCTGGCCTGACCTAAGTGAAGTCTTATACTCTAGTCTTTTCTACAGTGTTACCCAATCATTCGTTTTTCTTCAGAAAAGTACTTGATGTCCAATACTGTTTCCCACCTGGAACGTTCTAAATATAATCAATATAAATGACTGGGCCACGCACAGTGGCTCACAACTATAATCCCAGCACTTTGGAAGACCGAGGTTGGAAGATCACTTGAGCCCAGGAGTTAAAGACCACTCTGGGCAACAGAGTGAAACCCCATCTCTACAAAAAATTTAAAAATTAGGCCAGACGTGGTGGCTCAAGCCTGTAATCCCAGCCCTTTGGGAGGCCAAGGCAGGTGGATCACCTAAGGTCAGGAATTTAAGACCAGCCTGACCAACATGGTAAATAAAGCCCCATCTCTACTGCAAATTCAAAAATTAGCTGGGCATGGTGACGCACGCCTGTAGTCCCCGCTGAGGCAGGAGAATCACTTGAACCTGGGAGGCAGAGGTTGCAGTGAGCCAAGATCACGACACTGCACTCCAGCCTGGCAACAGAGCAAGACTCTGTCTCAAAAAAAAAAAAAAAAAAAAAAAAAAAATTAGCCAGTCCTGGGGGTGTATTCTTGTAGTCTCAGCTGTAGGTTGAGGTGGGCAGATCACCTGAGCTTAGGAGGTCAAGGCTACAGTGAGCTATGATCATGCCACTGCACCCCAGCCTGGGTGACAGACCCTGTCTCAAAAAGAAAGAAAAAACAAGACTCCAAGGCTCAAGGTCACCCTAGACTTCATGCTTGGGTTTCTTGCTAACCGTAGAAATTCCCAAGTAGGTTGGACGCGGTGGCTCACACCTGTAATCCCAGCACTTTGGTAGGCCGAGAGGTGGGCAGATCACGAGGTCAGTGTTCGAGACCAGCCTCGCCAACATAGTAAAACCCCGTCTCTACTAAGATACAAAAAAAATTAGCCAGGCATGGTGGCAAACACCTGTAGTCCCAGCTACTCAGGAGACTGAGGCGTAAGAATTGCTTGAACCCAGGAGGTGGAGGTTGCAGTAAGCTGAGATTGTACCACTGCACTCCAACCTGGGCGACAGAGTAAGATGCCGTCTCAAAAAAAAAAAAAGAAAGAAATTCCCAAGTAATTTGGAAGACACAGTGAGTAGGTTTGTAGTGAACAAGTACAAGCCACAAGTACAATATTCAGCCTTGGGAGGAAGTCACATTTTCCTCTTAATATTTATTCCTCCCTTAAGACTTCACATCTGAAGTGGTTATGGCTCTCACCTGGGAAGGAAAAAGGGCACCCACAGAGTAGCTGGCCCCTCCTCTTTATTTTATCATACCCTCCATCCTCCTTATGGAGAGCTTCACGTGGAGAAAGCTGGATTCTGACCTGGGTGTGGAAAGCACCACGGGTCCTCTGCCCTCCTAAAGTTTACTGCTGGGAGATCTCATCAGGTTTAGAGATGAACTCTCTCTGTGAGTAGCCAGAGGAGAAAGGCTCACACCTGGCAGGGACTTTGGACTGAGGGTTGAGTTCTGAATTTGGATCACAGTTAATTTATCAATTTACTGTGTTCCTGCTAAAATCCTCAAACCAGGATTTAGGCTTCTGAACTGGCTGAGCCCCAAGAGGATCTCTCTTTCTAATCAAGTTCACCATTTTCTATGCTGCCACAAAGAACACTGCTCCCAGACCCTCTTCTCATGGCAGAATGGTTGAGGACCATAGTGCAGGCCTCTGCTCTTTCATCATAAACTTATTGTGGTGACCCCAGAACACAAGGTCAGCTCTACTGTCTCTCTGCATAGACCTGAATGTCAACCCAGTGTGTCCACCTGGGAAAACAACGGTGTTCATGCTCCTGAGGGGCCTGCCCTCTGCCTAGCCCACAGCTGTGCTCAGAATCCACTGTTTCTTGTAAATCTGATGGGTGCTTTGGCTTTTGCTCTGTGTGCTAATCTCTTGTTGCTTTGCCAGTGATGATTTACCTGTCTCCACAATTTTTTTTTTCCACCTTCCTTTTGAAAGCGGAGATTGGGGATTATGACTCAGGAAAACACCCTGAAGGCTACAGCTCCAAGTTCCAGTTTTTCCCTAAACATTCAGAGAAGCTGGAAAGGAAAATTGCTGAGATTCACAAGACAGAACTCAGGTACGTGACAGTCAGGCCCAGAACAGTGTGGTTTCTCCACAGCCTGAGCACACAGGCTCCATGCTGTGTCATCTGCTCTTGTAGACTATTTGTTGACATAGAGTGATGCTCCCCAGCCTTCCTGACCCCAGGATGTACCATTGTCAGTGATACACTGACAGCACAAGTCACAGCCACAAACCCTGTAGGCTCCCTCTCCAAAAAGAGCCATTTAGACTGAAGCTTAAAGAGGAGGGAGAAGTCGTGTTATAAGGGAAATAGAGAAGGATTGGCCTCTGAAAGACATTTGCCTCATTAAGATACTTAATGAAGATACAGAGGAAAGCATGAACTGGGGAAAAGTAAAAGATAAACACAAAGGAAACCACAGAAGAGAAAAAAGATGAAAAAGACCAAGGGCGGTGGCTCACACCTATAATCCTAGCACTTTTGGAGGCTAAGGTTGGCAGATCACCTAAGGTCAGGAGTTCAAGACCAGCCTGGCCAACATGGCAAAACCTTGTCTCTACTAAAAATACAGAAATTAGGCCGGGCACGGTGGCTCATGCCTGTAATCCCAGCACTTTGGGAGGCCGAGGTGGGTGGATCACGAGGTCAAGAGATCGAGGCCATCCTGGTCAACATGGTGAAACCCCGTCTCTACTAAAAATACAAAAAATTAGCTGGGCATGGTGGTGCGTGCCTGTAATCCCAGCTACTCAGGAGGCTGAGGCAGGAGAATTGCCTGAACCCAGGAGGCGGAGGTTGCGGTGAGCCAAGATCGCACCATTGCACTCCAGCCTGGGTAACAAGAGTGAAACTCTGTCTCAAAAAAAAAAATTTAAAAAAAAAATATAAAAATTAGCCAGGCATGGTGGTGGGTGCCTGTAATCCCAGGTACTCGGAAGGCTGAGACAGGAGCATCGCTTGAACCCAGGAGGCAGAGGTTGCAGTGAGCTGAGATTATGCCATTGTACTCCAGCCTGGGTAACAGCAAGACTCTGTTTAAAAAAAAAAAGAAAAGAAAGAAAAAGGAGAGGTTGAGTGAGGATATGAAAAAGGGCAGATCTCTGCTTTCAGTCTGTGACAGTGTGACAGGTGGCTTCTCAGCAGAGGATGGACTGCGCAGGGCTGATTCATAAATGCTGAGAGTGCCTTGGGAGCACTTTAGTTCAGGGCTGTGTCCTCAGCCCCACCTAACTTAGCCCCCCACCACACCCTACCTGGAGTCCCTGACTTTGCACAGAAGGAAGTGGAGGAGACGTGGCTTCAAATGTGGAGCTTCATCTTTCTCAGCTTCTCTCACTTTGCCCAGAATATGCTGAATACCATAAAACAGCATTAATGCAGCCTTTCACCCACGTGAAGTGGGATTTTCTACAAAGACTCGTTTTAAAAAGTAACAATAGGGTGTTTGGGCTCCACTTGGTGTAGAGCACAGATTCTCCAGACTGACAAACTATGAGGGGAAAAAAGAGATATAGAATGCAGTGTTGGCCAGGCGCAGTGGCTCACAACTGTAACCCCGGCACTTTGGGAGGCAGAGAAGGGCAGATTACCTGAGGCCAGCAGTTCAAGACCAGTCTAGGCAACATGGTGGAAACCCTGTCTCTACTGAAAACGAAAGTAAATATATAAAAAAAACTAGATGTGGTGGCACACACCTGTAATCCTAGCTACTCAGGAAGCTGAGGCACAAGAATCACTTGAACCCAGGAGGCACAGGTTGCAGTGAGCAGGAATCACGCTGCTGCATGCCAGCCTGGGCCACAGAGTGAGACCCTGTCTCAAAAAAAGAAAAATAAATATAAAAATAAAATGTTATATTGTCATAATACATTATACCTTTTAAATGCCTGGCAGCTAGGAGCAGAGCAGGATATTTCTAATGCTGACTAAACTTCATCTTGTTCCTTCCCTGACCACGGGCCACCAGAAACCCTTCACTCAATGACTTTACCAACTAATATAACCCAAAGCCTTCTTAGCCTTTGTAAACAGACCCCTCTGCCCATGCCCTGTGGCAGGATGGGTTTCTGGCCCTCCCAGAAGAATGGCAACACCAAACAAGTAGAATCTTGTATGCTTGCTGCCCCTCTTCCTGGGTATGCCTTCCCTGGTGCAGGACCCCATGGCACCTAGTCACTCTCTTAGGGAATAGCGACCCCTTGTGATAAAGATTAGGATAAACATGGGCCTGCGGTATTGAGGACACGGTCCTCAAGGTTCCTTCAAAGAGATAAGGGATGTGCTGGAACTGCCTGGAGGGCTTTAGGAGATGTCAGAATAGAGGGTACAACCATCCAGAAACCTAGTTCAAAGCAGGGGGTTCCCCCAGGAAATGATGCCCACTTTGAGGACCCTGGAGGTTTGGGGCAAGTCCAGGGGTAAATGGAGCCCATAGGGCCCACTCCCCCAGCAGACAAGGATACTCTCTGGAAAGAGAAGCAGTGCTCTAGCCAGCCCTTTGCTTGCCACACAAGTATTTTCCAAACTTACCTTCCCTGTGCCTGAGATACACTGGTGGACATATAATCCGTATTCACAGGAATACTTCCTTACACAGGTTCTACCTCGTCTTCATAATGTAAAAATGTATCCATGCTTCCTTGCTGCAACTTGAATATGGGCTCTTTAGAGCCCAGACTGTATGCTGTGTTTCTTGGTTTATTTTCCAACAAGTAGCACAGAGGCTGGCACATAAAGGGGCTGCCTGACTGATGCCTCTCCAGAGGGACACTAGGGGGAGTCTGGCTTGCTCCTCCCTGGGGTCAGCTTATCTTCCTGCCTGGCCAAATCACCTGAGGTAAATTATAGCTTAGAAATGAGCAATGCCCAGTCCTGCCCACCAGTCATCAAAGATGTTGACTTCACAAGTTTCCCGTCCCTCCTCACCAAAGCCAACACTGTTTCTGTAGAAGTACATCTGCTTTGCAGAGCTCTGGACCAGGCAAGAACCTGATGGTGATTCTGCCTCTGGGTCTGCAATGATCCCATTGACACACCTGCTAAAGAGGCAGTGGGAAGGGGTGATGCCAAATGCCTCTTCAGATGGCCTGGAGCTGGGGCTGATCTCTGCCTTTTTCAGCATCTTTCCTTTTCATGGTCATCACCATGTGGACAGGCAGCTGTTGTGAAGCATGGGAGCTCAGCACTGTCTCCTTCTGCCTCTCCTCACCCCTGTGTTCCCTTTTGGCAAAGGAAGAGGGCTGAGTGACACCAGCTAGCTATATGAGCCCCTTATTTGTTTTTCAGTCTAGATCAGATCACATGTGAAAAGCCTATGACTTGCCTCCAGCCTATAGATGTATTTTGTTTTACCCCATAGTATTTTAAATTGTAAAATACCACATAAAAATCAGTATCTCTGACTTTTCATATAAAATCACAATATCTAGCTGAGCCCTGCATTCTTTTCTTTATTTTGGAGACGGTCTCATTCTGTCACTCTGGGTGGAGTGCAGGGCTGTGACCATAGCTCACTAAAACCTCGCACTCCTGGGCGCAGGTGATCCTCCTACTTCCCACCTTTGCCTCCCAAGTAGTGGGCCCTGCATTCTCAGGGATGGTAATCTCAGCATTAAGGTGCAGCTATAGTCAGTAGGTTAGGCTACAGTTTGCCACAGTCCCCACCACTCCCTATTGTTCATACTCAGCCCAAGTAATTCATTATTTAGCCTGCCTCACTCTGAAAACATCTGAAGACAGAGACTCTAGTAGGAGTCTCTGAAATTGGTCCTAGAACCAAGCAGGGAGCACACCCTACAAAAATTGAGATATGTGGCTCACCCTGAGCACGTCTTCTTCATAGAGAGTTTATCCCAGGGGAACCTGTGGGAACAGGACACCTAGAAATCATCTCATTTTGTTTATTCCAGTGGTCAAACACCAGCAACATCAGAGCTCAACTTCTTAAGAAAAGCACAGACATTGGAAACATATGGAGTGGATCCTCACCCATGTAAGGTAAGACCCCCTGGTTAGAGACTACGCTGACCTTTCCTTCTCTAGAAGGCGTCAGGAGGAAGGGCCCACATGCCTGCGGCCAGAAGCCCCCTTCAACATCTGCATGGCTGGCACTTTCAGTGAGATGCCAGAGAAAATACCTCCTTTGGAAAACTCCGGATCCCATGCTGCATTATTTTTTAGTGCCACATCAATGTCAGAGGAACCGAGGCAAAGTCAATCTAAATTACAAATCCAAAGCTAGGGCCCGCAATGGGTAATTTGGTAGAAATGAAGAGAGGAGGGATATGGAAGGCCCCCACAGGGAACCATCAGAGGTAGTTCAGCAACTGCCCATCCTTTCCTGACCTGTAATCTACTTTCTTTCCAAGAGTGGGTTTTATTGACTGCAGTGGCATAAGTCACTGCACGGAACTGCAGCGGAGTCACATTTAATTCCATTATGCACCTGTGAGGAGTATATGGGAAGCAGCCGGGGAGGCTGCCCAGAGAAAACCTCTGTAATTACTCATGTGTGTCTGGCATTCTGGAGATGAGCGCAGGCAGCCAGTCACTGCCAAGGCCTGTGCAGACCCATGGCCCCTTCCAGTCTCTCTCTGCAGCTGTGTCCCTTCACGTCACCGCCTGTCCCTGTTGCTTTGACACCACTGGTCTCTACCTCAGTGTCTCTGCATTTCTGCCTCTCGCTTTCCATTATTGGAGTGGGTCCAGTATCACCAGTAAAACCAGCTGTCAAGCTGATCTGAAGGAAACAGTATCAGCCAGGAACAGGAAGACATCAACCTTGTCTTCCTAACCAGAGAGGGGACACTAAGTTTCAAGCAAAAATTAAAAGAACAGTATGTTAGTTTCCTAGGGCTGCTGTAACATGTATCATAGACTAGGTGGCTTAAAGAACAGAAGTTTATTGTCTCACAATTCTAGAGGCTGCAGGTCTGAGATAAGGTGTTGGCAGGGTTGGTTTCTTCTTTGGGCTCTGAGAGAAGAATCCTTTGCAGGCCCCTCTCCTGGCTTGTGGATGGCTGTCATCTGCCTATATCTTCACGCTGTCTTCCCTCTGTACATATTTCTGTCCAGATTTCTCCAAAGACACTAGTCCTCTTGGATTAGGGCCCACCCCAATGACTTCAGTTTAACTTAATTACCTCTTTAAAGATCCTTTCTCCAAAGAAAGTCACATTCTGAGGTGCTGGAGGTTAAGATGTCAACATAGGAATTTTTGAGGACACAATATAGCCCATAACAAATGGGAATGAACAAGCACAATGCCATAGGAACAAAGCGGTGTGTCCTTTGGCCCCTTGAAGAAATGATGGTGATTTGTTCCTGCCTAGGACTTGTGAACCTTGAGAACATCCTGACATTCAGAAACCTTGGTCATCTTATCTACCCCACAGTTCCCCATCCACTAGCACAGCCTGCTGCAAAGTAACCCCTGTGTTCTTGGAGCCACACTGTTAGAAAACACACTCATGCTGTTATACCAGAGAATCGACATATGGATATTTACACATTAGCAAAAACTTCCTAAACAATGCCCTCTGTGTAACAGATGTAATTTAATGCCCCCCCGTAAATTGCTCAGTCACTGTTAGCAGGGCACCCTCACAGCAGTGAAGAGAGCTTTGTATAAGCTGACCCTGGGCTCCAGTTCCCATCTCCTATTTACTGGGGCCTTTGGAAGCTTCTCTGAGCCTCACTTGAAAGTACACAGTATGTGTTCAATAACTGTGCTTCCTGAACTGCTGAGTCACTCCAGGACATTAAAGACAGCTGCCTGAAGATATGGTCATCAGAAGGGGCCGGGTTACTTCTGCATTTGACCCCAAACCTGCCCAGTCTCCTTGAGGCCACACATAGCACCCACCTCTTCAGAGATGGGTCCCTGGGCGGGGTTGAAAGCATACAGAGAAGGGCAGACAGCGAGCCAGAGCACTACACTGACTAGAGGGGAGAAAGGGATTCTCCACCATTGCCCATGGGAGTCTGGAAGCTATAGTGGCAGCCATCCTGGTCTACAGCCCAAATCCATGTATACTCCAGGGCTGTGAGGCTCCTGTCTTAGCCTTGTGTTGGATGAGTTTGTCTATCATTGGGCACAGAGAAGCCGAAGAGGCTGCAGGGAGGAACCAGCATTCATACCAGGCACTTGCGGCCCAGTCACATATGTCATGTCATCTCAACCCCACAGCATCAACTCCTGAAAAGAAAGAGGGAGGTAGGGAGGGAAGAAGAGTTGTTTGTGGCATGCCTCCTATGGCAGGCCCAGTGGAGTCTTTTCACATTATTTTTTCATTTGATCCTCACACCAAGTCCTGGGAGGTAGATGTTATTTGCCTTGTTTTATAGATAAGAAGACTGGCATTCCAAGAGGTCAAAGTTCATAAGCCCTGAGCAGTAGAGCAAGAATTTGAACTCAAGTCACTACCTATTGTTATGTACCCTATAGAAGAACAGAAATCCCCAGGGGACTTCTGCTGGGGAGAAGATGGGAGTGCTCATCTCATTGGTTTTCAGGTCCCTTGTTGCTGAGCCCTGTGCCTGTTCCTCACCCAGGGCCATGTCAGGGCCCTATTGCAGACCCCACATATAGTCCCTCAGCCTCTCTCATTAGGCTCTGCCCATGATTCCTCAGCCCTCCTAGCAAAGAGAACAGTTCAGAGGCCTTTACTCTTGTCACTAAGTGATATGCTATCAAGCACTCCCCTTAATGCTGCTACAAGAAGAGCTGAAATAAGCTGGCACACTCGGTGTAATAAATACTGATGATTTCTATTAACAGAGAGGCAATTACTGGGCCCAGGGAATCTGGGGCATGCAGCCCTAGGGAGGACAGAAGAAGAGGAATCATTTCGATAATTAAATGAGAGCAGAACAACTCTCCAGCTTAGGCTCGGTCCCCTGGACTGATTAAAAAGCTGCTGTTCTTCCTATGCACACTGATGGTTTCTTTCTGCCCAGAATGTCCTTGTCTGCCCTGGGACTAGGAAGAGGAGATTCTACAAATGCTGAATGGGACAGCCAGAGAGCTCTATTAGCTAATACCCAAATTCCAAAAGTGCCCAAGGCTGTCCTGCACTCTCTGTCTTGAGTCTCAGCCTGCAGCTCCTGGTAAAAGCCTCAGCAGCCCCAGCCTACAGCTGCCTGAGGAGGGGAATGAAGCAAACCACTGGCAGTCCATTGCTACATCTGTTTCCTGGCCGGCCCTGACAGCTCTCTAACTTCAGGATCCACCATCTTGCTCCGTTCAGGTGGCCCTGACATTGTTGTTTGACCTGGGTCTCCTGCAGCACTATATTTTGGCCTCCTAGGCCCAGTTTATGGAGATGCCCTGTTAAGGTTCAAGGAGTAGTTAGGCCTGTTACAGATACACAATCTTGTTATTAAGAGTCTTGATGGTACCATTTATTGAGAGTCTGCCTGTACCAGGCTCACATATTATCTCATTGAATCATTACAACATCACTGCCCAGAAGATATTCTTGTCCCCATTTTAAGATAAGAACACTGAGCCTCTGAAAATGCAGACAAGAAGGGACATGAGGGAGATAAGTCCCCTCTAAGGGACCAACTAACATGTTCAAAGGTACTGGGTAACATAGTGAGACTCGAACCCAGGGTTACCTGAGTCTCATTGCTGTGCTTTTTCAGTTATTATTCATGGTCTTCCTTTTGGAGAGATGGAATTTAGGAACTAAGCACAACTCCTTGCCAATTCTGATACAGAAAGGTCACTAACCTCCAGGATTATTGACATCATATGTATTAGTCCATTTTCACAGTGCCATAAAGAACTGCCTGAGACTGGGTAATTTATAAAGAAAAGACGTTTAATTGACTCACAGTTCTGCATGCCTGGGAGGCCTCAGGAAGCACAATCATGGTGGAAGGGGAAACAAGGCATGTCTTACTTGACAGCAGGAAAGAGAGAACAAGGGGGGACGGGCCACACTTTTAAACTGTCAGATCTTGTGAGAACTCCCTCACTATCATGAGAACAGCATGGGGGAAACTGCCCCATGGTCCAAACACCTCACACCAGGTCCCTCCCCTGTCACATGGGGAGTAAAATTCCACACCAGATTTGGGTGGGGACACAGAGCCAAACTATATCATCATCCTGTAAAAATGTAATGCAAGTTCACCAGTGTTTTTATGCCTGCTTTGTACAGACCAGGATAAAATTGATATCAGCAGGATCTACGTTAGATAACCACAAAAACAAAATTTCAGTGTCCCTCTGCCCTTAAAATATAATCATTACTTTCATAATACAGCCACCTAGCCAGCTCTCTAAAGAAGAACTCCTTCCCCTGTCTTGACGAGTTGCCCCTCACTTTTTTTTTTTTTTGAGACAGAATTTCACTCTTATTGCCCAGGCTGGAGTGCAATGGCATGATCTTGGCTCACTGCAACCTCCACCTCTCTGGTTCAAGTGATACTTTTGCCTCAGCCTCCTGAGATTTAGTACCTGAGATTATAGGCGCACATCACCACCCCCAGCTAATTTTGTATTTTTTTGTAGAGATGGGGTTTCTCCATGTTGGTCAGGTTGGTCTCGAACTCCTGACCTCAGTTGATCTGCCCACCTCAGCCTCCCAAAGTGCTGGGATTACAGGTGTGAGCCACCACACCTGGCACCCCTCACTTCTGAGAAGCAGAGCAAGGATCAGTGATGGCTCTTCCACTGATGGGTGGGCCCCTCTTGGCTGTGCTGCAGGTAGGGTGTTAGATTTACTGCTGAAATGAAGAACTTCACCAAAGCCACCTAGTGAAATTTCCACCAGGAATTCCATTTCTGAGCTGTCATGGAGTAACACCAAGTCTCTTACGGGGTGCCTCCTCCTCCTCTTCATTTCTATTCTAGTTTATTATGGCCAAGTTTAAGTGTAGTATATTCAGACTGGGTGATTTTCATAACTGACTTCAGCTTCCCAACTGTGAGCTCTTTCAGAAATGGGCATAAATATCTAGTAGAACATGTGGAATCATCTTCTGGA